GATCTGGTGCACTGTCAGGACCTGTCCTGAATGTAAATAACACTGGGGAGCGGAACTATATTACTAACAAGATATTTTGCGCAAATCAATTTTCGGGTCCTTAATTATCAATAATCAAATTTATATTGCAACTTAATCAATTATAAATTACTTTAGTATTTCAGACCAGGGCCGGCTTTGTCTTTTTTTAAAAGGATTTTCGTATGTCATGTCATTGCACACGTATTTCTATAGCCTTGGACGGTTCTGGCGCACACAAGACAGCGTTCACCATTGTGAATTTCGCGGCCCAGCCATTATCACCTCACCGCATCTTGCAAATGTCTATGCGTGCTCACATCTTCAGGCTATTTAATGTCGTGTGCAGACATAGTAGTCACGTGACTTACCCGCCGGTCGGGAGGATCAGGATGGCAAACGCGGTACCAAGATCCCGGTTGCCTGCCCGCCACGCGGTATCAAGCTGTTTTTTGGTGTCGATATTGCAGACGTCCGAAAGTTGTAGTGAATGAGAAATGTATGAAACTATCGCTCTTAATGATGCGCTTTCAATACATGTTGAATTACTACCCACTTTGCGCTTAACATCCGCTGGAGGCCAAAATATACCGGGTCCTAGTCATTATCATTTTAGCTGTAGTCAGCCCTTGTATATGCCCCAGACGCAGGAAAGACTGGGACGCAGTGAACGTGAGCTGTGGTCTTCCATCAAAACATACGACTTCTGACACCCCAGATTGGCGGGAGATGTCCCATAGTGCAGAGATCAGCTTGCTGGTTGGAGCGTTCATGCGTTCCTGTCCCCGGTACACTGACGTCCTGAGTATGCAACTACCACTATCAGGTACGTTCGACCGTTTTGGTCAGCAAAATCGATGTCCAGCTGCTGGAAAGGCTGGATTACCGCTGCCTGATGTTGTAGGGTCTCCTGCTGTTGTGCTGCCAGGTCTTTTCGGCAGATATGACACGCCCTTGCGGTATTTTCGATGTCACGATCGATGGCAGGCCTCAGCACGTCATGTCTGAGACGTTACGGATCACCAGGAGATAGTCGCAGATGACCAGTCCGTCGTCTAACAACAGGCGAACGTTAATCGGACAATGCTGCGGCCGAGTGAACGTTAATCGGACGGTGCTCTGGCCGAGTCACCGGCACAGATGGTGTATCGTCCGGACAATCCTGGTCAGCCGGCATCAATAGAGCCGCAGTACAGGGCTATTATCGGCAGTCAGACACATTTCCTACTTACGAAGATCTGCCCTGGTCTTCTGCAGTTCGTTCGTGACCACGGAGCAGAGGGTAGGCGTCGCAACGTCCTCGCCGGTCTGGTCGTTGCACTTGGGCCCGGAGATGACGCACGACACAGAGCTTCGGTGGCGACATGCGGCGTTCGTGACCCCTAGGTGGTGGTGAAGTACCCTAACTCTCCAAACTTTACGCGGAGAAGCCGCAGTCATGGATTTACTATCTCGTCCAGAGCTTTGCTAGTGAATGTCAGCACCAGGGACAGTGATATTTCACGATTTGACAGTGCGGCAGTCCAGACAGGAAGAGACGACGTTTCTTGGTCATCCAAGCCATTGCGAGCAGCTCCAGCTCCAGTGTATCGGTTCTCGTAATCCGACAGGAACTACCGGTCTCACAAGATGACAGGAGCCGCCCGCGAATTGATGGCGGGCCAGACCTCATCGGGTTGAAGCTGTCGTAGGACGAACTCGAGTCACCTGAGTTCCACCAGTTCCACCTCGCAGTTCCACCTGGCATCGGTCTACTGCGAGGTAGACCGACCTTGATAGTAGACAGCTAGCATCGGGACTGATGCCTTGACTGCTCTGACGGCATCGAAAGCGCTCTGGCTCACCTCACTTCCCGTGAACTTGTGGAGGGTAGGGAGGATTGGACGAAAAAGACCGGCATCTCAACGATACGTTTAATGAAGGAAACCGTTGGAATAGGTAGGCGCAGTCTGAGCACGACGAGCACAAAATTTCGGACCGGTACGCCCCATTACCAGATACCTTAATATGACAATTGCAATAAAAAAGGCGGACCCCTTCAATTCCTTCCAAAGTCCCTACGCTAGTAGACATTAACCTGCTGATTACGATGAACACAAAACTTTGAACCGGTACGCTGTATGAAAGGAAATACTGACACTTCGAATACGGAGGTCGCGAAGACAGGAATTATTGCATCCTGACAACCTTCACCCTGTTCCATATTCGATACTGTGGAAACTCTTCAGATTGGCATTTTATTTTGCGCACAGGTGCAGTTTAATCTTTGGGCATGAGCACAAAATCTGGGACCCGTACGCCCCATCACCGCATATATATATATATATATATATATATATATATATATATATATAAACATACATATATAGATGAAAGAACACAATACAAAGGTGGACTCCTTCAATTCTTTCGAAATTCCGCGTGCGGGTAGATATTGACTTTCTGATTATGTCCAGCACAATTTTGAATCGGCACGCTGTATCAGACACGTTATAGCTCTTTAAATGCAACGGTCGCTAAGGTAGAATGACGATCACATTTTCGCTATCCTTGGCCCAGGCTGATATTGGATATTCGTATTTCGCGGCTCAAGCAGCCCCGCGGGACAGCTTCTGTTGGGGGGTTAGCTTCGCAGCAGATTTTCTCCACCATTGGCGCTATTAGGCCTACCGGAATAAATACGCCTGCAATGCATCGGCTTTGCCCGGAGTCAGATTTTCACAGCCTTTGTACAGGTCAGTGATGTCACTGATGCCAAGACTTCGATACCGCGCGGTCGCTAGCCGTGGGGCGTACACTATGGGGCAGCCAGAACACCGGAAGTCTTCCAACAGATAATGAGCAAACTCTTAGTGGGAGATCCATGTAACCAGCGCAGCGGTTACGTAAAATTTAATGGCAAATATGTTGATGTGCTTTCCATGCCGGTGTCGCTAACTGTTGGGCATAATGCGAGGGCATGAGAAGTGTAAACGTATACATGCTAATTATTCGAGATAAAACGGTCGGACCATCAGGCTTCTTCATATCGATGATGAGCAAACTGTTTGTGGCAGGTGCATATGACCATCGTGCCAACTGGGTAGAATTAAGCGTCAAATACGATATGCTTTGGAAGCGTCGCGAGGGGCTAAACATCCCAATGACATCGGCGTAAAAATGGAAAACCATCTCGCGAGAACTGCTGCAGAGATGGGCGGCTAGTATATCGGACTGCGTTCGTAGCGATGGCAAACAGACTGTTGAACGTATGCGTTTCAACCAGCGGCCGAATGCGTAGAATGTAATGACGGGGGCGGGGGTATGGTGATGTGCTAATTACAAACGTATGTGCTTAGCGGTAAAGTGCAATCAGCGTAAAAGGCGACAAATTCCACGCGAGGACTGTTGGAGATGCGCAGATTAAATATCGGTTGGTCTTCTTACCAGTCATATGGAGATTTCTAAAGGCATGTGCGTATATCCGCGAACAAATCAGGCGGAATAAAATGGCAATGATGAGCATGTGCTTTGAGAAGTTATGTTCAGCGAAGTCGTTTGACTTCAATAGCCGTGGAAAGTGAATATGCCTACGCAGGAGCACGGCCACTGGGGAGGGGATAAGTCCCCAACTTTCTTGAAATGTAGTCTTCACATCATGAGGCTTGAATGGAAGTAAGTAACCAAAATGGCTATCGCCCCCCTCCCCCCCACTTAGGAGAACTTCTGTTGTCCCTGCGCCTATGCCGGAGCCGGCTAGCATACTACGATGAGCTTTGATCGTAAATTTGTTTTTCATGAGGCAAGTAGCACAGTGTTACGGGGAAATGTACTAGTCACGGGAAACTCTTTTTTGTCAGCCAGCCGTGGACCAGGTTCAAACGTACGTGCGTGTTCCCACTTGTTTCTTTGGATCCCTTTGTTGCCACTTGCCCCTTTGGCTGGGTGTGCCCGCTATTCTGGTGTTTCGACATGCTGCCAAAACAATGTTCAGGGTTGGAGTAAATATGATTATTGAAGCGCGTTGCCACACGCATGAAACTAAGAGATTCGTCAGTTGCATAGTTAACGTCGTTGTGGCTAAAAAGAAAGTTGCCACAGATACATATCGTGTTCTGCATCTCTGTTTGGCCATCCATGCTTCTATTTGCGTGCCACATTGACATCAAACAAAGCAACGCACATGAACGTTTCAGGAACGCGACATACGGGGCTCGACACTTACAGTGACTAAACAGACGGATATGGACTAAGCACTGTCGACCCTGCGCACAGGTATGAACCGAGCACGCCGGCCTCGCAGGTAGTAGACCGGGCCCGCCGGAACGAAGGCAAGTACGGACCGAGCACGGCCGGCCCCGTTGACAGGTACAGAATGAGCACGGGAAAATGTAGATAGGCACGGGCAGAGCATGCTCATCTGGCACATCTAACGCAAAAAGCAGCAAACAACAGATTGGCCACGCTCGCCACTCACTCGCACCGCCGGCGGCGGCGCGATCATGGTATGTGAGGCCGTGTAAGATCGATGTGCTTGTAGAGGCCGGCCACTAACAGTTGTCACGTGGATCATCATACTCGTCGTGAAATTTTACGCAATCGGCTCGTTGGTAATATACATCTGCCACAAACAGTTTGTTGATAATCGGTACGAAAACAGCCCTATGTTCCTACCGCCCTATGTCGAATAAGTCTCATGTGTATGTCTTTACTTTTCAGGCCATTGCGTGTTAATAGTCTGCAGCCTAGGCTTGCAAAGTGCAATATCATGGTCGTCATAAAATTTTGCTTCAGCAGCTCTCGCTAACGGATTGTCCATTACGTACGAATATTTTGATGGTTCAGTCCGCGATCAGTATTACATGCGGCACCCAGCGACACGCCGCGCATTGAAGTCTCAGCACCAGTGACGTCAGGCTCATGTTAAGCGAAGACGAAGCGAGGATCACCGGACGGTCTTACCTTCCTTACACGGCCTTGAGTGGTTTAATTGGCGTCGTGGTCTCAGCGCACGTGCTGGCTGGGGATGTCTCGGTTGTTATTTGATGGGGAGTCCTCCGACTCGGAAGTGGGCTTCGGACTAGGGAATGAGTACGCTAAAAAATATGATACATGGAGGGAAAAAGAAGAGTATCAAAAATGTGAGTAGTAGTGAGGACCCAAGAAAATGGTCTGCAACTTGGTGGAGTCAGCTGTGTGCTGCCGTTGCAATCCGTGCATTCCTACTTGAGGTAGATGTAGTTACGCATTCCTTATCCATGATTTCAGGTAGCCCCATGCAGTGGCAGTGGTTGGCTGTATTGTGGATGAGGTACTGTGTTGCAACCACATAGAGTCTGGGTTCATCCTGTATGCCAGCAACATCCTGTACTCAAATTTTGGCTGCTGTAGTTCAGAGCAGCCATGATACGCAGCAACATACCAATAACCATGGTGGTGATGCTGTCTGTTGCCTTTCATTTCTGATTCATGTGGTGTAACTGTGTGCTATGGTCATTATCCAGTAAAATGTTATTCATATGCATGTCCCACTGATAGTTGCAAGTTGTTGCTTCCAGAACATTACTCATACTGAAACAGACACTTCAGATGCTTTGATCTGATTGGAGGGTGACTTAGCAAAAATAAGCTGGCATGTAGACATTCAGTGATGTTTTACACCTCTTGCATGCCAGGTTGTATGCTGGAGTATGATGTGTATTACTACATTGCAATAGGTGATGGTTGACAAGGTCCTGTGCCTTGTTGCATGTCTTTAGTTCAAGCTGTCAGATGTGAAATAGTGTGCCCACTACCCAGTGTAGCTCTAAAAGCTAGTCAGGAATCAAGTCAGAGTGTGGCTAGTCAGGACAAAATGGTGTTCTGGAAGGCTTTGGGACTGGTTTTTAGGCTTGGTAGGGGATGGGAAGTCATGCGGGCCCAGGCTTCTTAAGAATATGAGTGGGGCCAGTCACAGCTGGTATTTCCATTTGTTAATTGTGTTTGTGTTATCTTGCTTGTATTACAATTTGTTGTATGTCATATATGATGCATTTGAAAGCCATTGCCACAGAGAATTATAATGGGAATGAGCTCATTTTAAAAGTATATGTGATCACCCAATATAAGCTGCTTGTTGTGACCAGAAGGCAGCACTGGCTTAATAATGCCTCTTGGTTTTCAGTACAAGCCAAATATGGCAAGGACATGGCCCTGGACAATGGCAAAGAAGGGAATGAATCTTCATCATCTTCTGAAGATGAAGATGCTGAGGTGAGCCTTGATGTTGACCTGTAATGCTATTTATGGAATGTTGCATAAAATGTGACCATGTACCAGACTCTGGGAGTGACTTGTTCAGCTAATTTTGTGGCTTACCCAGCTTGGGACATGCCAGATTGGTTGATTTACTATTGGAAAATGTGATGCTAGTACAGCTGATGTGGGGATCCAGAAAGATGTAGATGAGCAGCTTTTCAACCTGTCCATACAAAATAAGATTTGAATCTGCAGTTATTAATTAGAAGCTTCATATCATTTTGCCTTCTTCAAGTTGCTGCACCTCTGACGTAGGTATAATTGATGCTGGCCCTTTTGATGCCTCATTCCCCTTTTGAATAGCAAATTGCAAAGGTATGTAGCCTGGCATAAATATGTCCAGTTAGAGAAAATGTCAACAGCTAATCCCTCAGCTTAAAACACAGTTGTGAGATCCATTTTGATGTTTTCAGTGGAGGGCAGGGATATGCAAGTATTCTGTGTAGGTGGTGTCACTAGAGAGAGCAAACAAACTCACAAAGAGAAAGAAAGCTCACAAACAGAGAAACTGTTAGATTACTACCAAGTCTCTGGACACTTACCCCTTTTCCTTGTATTGCTCATCAGGGAGCCCATCAGTACATGCTCAAATCATTTACCACATTTTGTTTTGTAAACCCTGTGTGTATGAAATTTAAGTGCAATGGCAGGAAAATGTGTGTAATGATAATGCAATACTATGATAAAACAGAGCTTTGTTTGAATTTTGCAGCAAGCAAGCATCCTTGCCATCCTTCTTGAGAAAGTTAGTATCTGCTAGTCATTTTATTTTTTTTAGGCATTTTTGAGATAAGCAGTTATGAACATGCACATGAGTCCTGATGGATATCAACAATATTCACATGGAACATTGAGCATGTATTGAGCATGAACATGTATATATATAAACTAAGTGAGAACAAGGGATGGTGGCCAAAATTGCTGGTTATTTCCAAGACTGCAAGTCACCTTTTAAGCGAGAGTGATCCATGCAAAGCTGAGCATGTTACAATGTCACTTTTAGGACAGTTTCTGACCAGCTTGTTACAATCCCAGCCAGCTAAAGGCCACAGGCATTAGCTACTTTGAATAAAAGTAGTACATACAAAAAGTTTTTAGTCTTCAGTCCAGCAGAATGCAGATATATGCATTAGTTTGCAACAACTATTCCAAATTGTAGTGAGAAAAATTAGTTGTAGGTCAATTCATGCTGACCTTCAACTGCCAAACATGCAGCCTGCAATGAATTATATAATGACATGGCCTAATATATATGTTAGTGGAGGTCTACCACCCAAGTTTGAGTTGATTAAACTCAGATATGTACCAGCCATTATGGTATTACAAACACACATACATTCCCACCAGCTGATATATATATATATATATATATATATATATATATATAATGGTTATATATATATATATATATATATATATATATAATAGTATAATAGTATATAATAGTATATAATAGTATATATAATGGTATATATATATAATATATATATATATATATATATATATATATATATATATATATATATATTTATATATATATATATATATATATATATATATATAATGGTCCTATGGGGCCCATATGGGCCCCATAGGACCATTATAGCCAGCACAATCCAAAGCCCAAATCATCATCAGTCAAAGCCCATGGCCCACTAGCATTCTTGGATCTGCCATTGATCTACCATTAGGAACAGGTGAGTAGCATGCTAGTTGTACACAAAGATGTGCTCCTCAAATTATGCTCATTATCATGTGTGACATTGGTAAGCTTTACAGCTTGTGTCCTTTGTTTATCAGGAGATCACACCACAAGTGGAGAAGCAGTTCTTTGAAACACTTTCGAAGTTGAAAGGAAATGATCCTGATATTTATGACCCTGATAAGAGGTTCTTCAAGGAGAATAGTGAACAGGGACAAACTGCAAGCAGCAAAAAGAAGACAAAGCACAAACCCATGTTTTTGAGAGATTATGAGAGGGAAATGTTCCTGAAGACTGGAGGAGTGCAGCATGATCAAGGTAAACATGCCATAAGTTATGTGATGTCAGTTATGTTATATCATGTTATGATTCAGATGGAACAACACAGGGGTTAATGGTTTAATATCTACCCATTTCGAGTTCAATCTTGGTCTTTATTCATTTGTATCTCCTATGGCTGTGTCTAGCATTTTCGGATTGTTCTGTTTAACTTTTGAGGTTTTCCTTTACCTTAGCTGCATGATGAGAAAATGTCTCCAGATTTGTGTGTGAATTGTTGGAGGCACCAACCTCTTCCTACATCACCGGGATGTTTGCGATGTATTTGTAGCCGTGCTGGGTAGGGATGTTTCACTGCATTTGCAGTGCTGTTGCATTTTCTGCTAATCATTTATGGCGTGGTGTTGTTCCCCGTTCCACAGGTGAACCGCACTCGTCCGGCGTCTCGGCAGAAAAGTCGTACATAGAGGAGCAAGAGGACATCAAGGCTGGCTTTCGGTCGCTGCTTGAAGATTCGGACGATGAAAACGCGACTGGCTTTGCTGGAAGCCTTCTGCAGAAAAGGCAAAAACCTGCTGCCGAAAAGGTACGGCTAGCACCCCTTGTATTTGATTCTTTCGTATTTGGCTCGAACTTTCGGTTACGCCAATATCGAACTTTTGCGCACTTCATGAAATTAATAGAATAACACCTACAATTACCGGCAGCATTGCGACAATGCCCACATTCGTCGTCACGTTCGTAATCACGCAAGCAAAATGTGGGGCCCAAAAGGCGAAAGAAAGGAAGGAATGCTTAGCCTCTTGAACTTGAAGAACTTGCGGGACGCCAAACGTTGGACACACGTTCAGTTATTTGATTGCTTCTCTGAACGACTGAAAGACGAACCAAATGTTACAGCTGTGTATTTGATGAAGATGTATTGAAATGACGTCTGAGTTATTCAATACTGTTTCCAGTGTGTTTTCATTATAGTTTCATCGAGTTTGCTTAAGTCTAAATTTAGTTACATCTCGTTGCCGCGTTACGTTGACTTTTCAAAAAGTATTGGACGCCGCCGGCCCAGCAAAGTATCTCGCACAACGGGCATAGGCAGAGACAACTTGTCTGCCGGACAACTTGGGGCTGAGTGGTATGTTTAGAACGCCAGCAGCGTCCGCGAAAATGTTTGCGTTTTACGCCAAGGCACATCCGCCTGGTGAAAACGACTCGAAAACGAGTAGTGCAGGGCCGCCAGGCCGTCATGCAGTCGACGTCGACGCTGTGGCAGTGGTCGGACGAGCCAGCTGTGGTAGGCGGTGCAGCTTCGGCCTCCGCCCGCCGGGTTGGGGGTCGGTGGTGGCCGGAGAGCTGACCTGATCGGCTGACTCCGCCTGGGTCTGGTTGGTTCTGGTGGCTCGGGTGTTGATAACGCCCTTGTGCAGGACGCCGTTCATTATCATGGTGAGGCCGTGGCGGATGAACGGCAGACAGATGCGTTTGCACGCCCGCTTGAGGCAGCTTTCGGTCTATATCTTTTGTGGCAGCAAATTGTGTTTCTGATCAGGTGTTTGGGGTGTCAGTTGCTAATATAAAAAAATAGAAAACCTAGTCATATGAACCTACGGGCTGCGATAATTGCTTGTGGCTTGTGTGTGGATTCGTCGCGCAGTCGCTCGGACTTTGGTGTAACATCATGCAGATAGATACAGAATGCGTTATCGTTTGATTGCATCATGGAACGTTTTTATGACCGCCCACCCGTAGTCCTGCAACCCCACGCTTGTATGACAGCACCCGCTTGTAGTCTTCATCGCTCCAGAGGTGGCCCGCGGCGGTGCTTGATAGGTGCTGGACCAAGTATCGTTAGGTGCTGCCTGTCCGGATTAGCCTGATTTCCGTAATATGTTTTACCTAGCTTGCACAATGTTAGTTAAGAGTCAGTTGCCGATTGCTATATCTGGAAATCGTGCTCACGAACGCCAGATATATACGATCCTATAATTATATTGTTATCGACCATAAACGCCGCCTGGCCAGTGGAGGCACAGAATTTGAACAACGTTATTGTGGGGCCATGGATGTCTGGTTAGCCTTGAAATAGTCTTCGCATCTTCGCTGGTGTGTAGCTTAGAAACTACAGGGTTTTAGCGCTTAAGTAGTTTCCGTTCAAAAAGCGTTCAAACAAGGTCAAACTCCAGATTGGTGTCCAGAGTACCCCCAGACGTTTTCACGCAACCGCCGTCAACCCATGCATTGTTTTCCGTCTCTCAATCTCTATAGAGGTTCCACCCTTACTGGGCGTGGCATGGCAGCCAAAAGACAGAATGTGGAGGATAGGAAGAAACAGGACAGGACAAGACAGGTAGCACCCGCAGGCAGGGTGATAGATGACAAGGTAGACAAGGAAAGAGGGGAAGATGATGTCGCAGAGCAGGAGATGACTGCAGAACAGAACACATGGTGAATCAGGATAGGGTGGGAGATGACAGGACAGGACAAGACAGGACAGGACAGGACAGGACAGGACAGGACAGGACAGGACAGGACAGGACAGGACAGGACAGGACAGGACTGGATGGACAGGACAGGACAGGACAGGACAGGACAGGACAGGACAGGGCAGGACAGGACAGGACAGGACAGGACAGGACAGAAAAGAAGAGGAACATACAGCACAGCGCAGCCCGTAATGAGGATGGGCATAACAACATTCGCCAAAATAAACCGAAAAGAGCTGTTTCTTTCAGCCTTCGTCCAGTAACAGTATAAACCTCGGCTTTTGTACTCCCCCTCCCCCCCCCCCCCCCCCTGCTGCCTTTCTCTCCACCCAGGACTGGCTAGTGGCGTCGTCACTGCTCCACATATAACACTCGTGTTCACCTGACTGTGGAGCACTGCGCGGCGACCCACGGCCGGCGCGGGCGGCGGTCGACAACCGACGTTCCTGCGGGCCGCGCACGGCCGGCCGACACCGTTACAGGAACGGAGCCAGGCGTCATGAATAAAGGCTTAAAGCACGTAAAAGTACACACCATTGTACTAAGAAGGGAACAAGGAACGCGTCATTCTAGGTTTTGTATCATTACATGGCAGGTCTAGTACGTTGCGCATGTAAAGCAGAGAATTTTGGTTTTCAGGAAAATTTAACTTTTGACCTGGCATAATGGGCCAGTTATCGAACAGCAAAGACAAACTATCAATCGCGAGATATCGCTTAGAAAAACCCACTGTTGCTTTCCGTCTTGCTCTGTCTACCTTAGGTTGGAAAGTGCCTATAACCAGCCTTCATGCGTGTGTTTGTGAGCTGTGTGTATATGTGTGTTTTCACTTGGAACCAGTGACACTCCGTTTTAATGTAGTGCCGATGGACTTGAACAGCCACGAGTCCATCGTGAATAGTCCAAATACATATCTTTGTCTATGTGTGTGTACAGAGCTTACGCCAAAGACCATAATTAAGATATTTTGTAGTAACGACCTCGTTATTGTTTTTATATTTGTTCGTCGTGTGCCAATATTTGGAAGGGAAATGAAAAACCAATGAGATGCAAAAAGAGATACCGGCGGTCAAATTTATGTGGCATTACCGCACACAGGGAAGCTACTTTTGATGTGTTTAAGGTTGAGAGCACGCGCTGTGGCTGGGCGCGTAACGCTTATGGCTGCTGGCAAGATAACCGAGGGCAATCACATTTGCCGGACGCCTGATGCAGCCGATTGACACGACGCACGACTTAGGCCGCATCTCAGTATATAGCGGACCGACATGAATCAATCGCAGTGGGTGTCGAGTGACCGGGCTCACTGGACGGTCGCAACCGTCCACACATCCAGCCCCCAGCTGATTATAAACGAATATACCATTAACGCAATGGACGCAGCTATCGCTACGTTTGCAGGCTGCTGTCAGCGCTGACAAGCAACATGCTTGAAAGACCATTCGCTGGAGCGAACGATAAGCTCCAAACAGTATCGATATGTTTAGTAAGTGATGTATGTGTTGGAGTCACCCGATAAATCTGATCTTACAGCAAAAATTCGGGTCACTTGAAACATATCGGCAGTGGAGACGAATTTTTAGAAACCAATGATACCAATCGATATGAATCGAATTTCCCTTCAATCCTACGTACACAGTGGAAAGTCAATTCGGCTAGACATCCTCCTGTTAAGCTGGTACCTTGTACACACGGGATTACGATATCGGGTGCCATGCCGTAATCCGCAATCCCCCCGCATGGTTTTTTGCTGGCTGCTGCCAGCTGTTGCCACCAGCAATTTCTGCCGGACGGCTATAACCGGTAATGGCCGGCGGGGACAGGGTTTCAGCCTGCTGTCACCAGTCGTGGTGACACTGCCGTGGAGAGAAGTGGCTGAATGGTCCGGGTTCTTAACAATAACCATCCCGGCGCGCCAGGAACATAACCGTCTCGGCGCGCCTGGAACAGTTGAAACGAAACGTCATGGGGCGAGCACTTAGTCAACCGACGATTCAAGGCAGACGATCCTATGTCAATGGCGAGATCCTGTAGCCTCCCATCGACGTCAGAGAGGGAACAGATCCGGGTCCATTTTGCGTCGGGAAGATGCATCATGGCATATTGGAAGGTTGCTCTTGCCAGTCAAGGCACAAAGTCGAACCCGTATATTTACCTCAGAAGGGTGTACACTGCCCTTCGTGTAATGCATTAGTTCCCTTATATGCCGTGCACACATTTCAAAGTCAGACTTAAGTGTCAGGTGATATCAAAATGTGCTTAACATGATGTGGTCCCGGCCTGACTGAAGTGAGTTTAGATGTCGAAAATGGCTTATTTTGGCGGGTTCGTGTATCGTATAGTTCATAACCTTCATGCCACGATAATTCACATCATCCTACGTCATGCTATGACAATATTCATCAAAGTAACCCCACCTCCCTCTACAGCTTCACGGTGAAAAGACCAAGCGATTGCATTCCGAAAAAGCTCGAAACCCCAAGTGACGTCAATAAGCATCTTTACTTTTATCTTGTGGTAGTGCCTGATAACGCTCGTTCAACGTGTTCTCTTTCCGGCAGGAAGAAGACGATGAACAGTACAAAGTGTGGCTGAAAGGGCAGAAAGACTCGGTGAACGATAGAAATATTGAGCGTGGCCTCAAAGGTCTGAAAAAGGCGTGGTCAAATCCAAAGATTGACACGGATGAAGCGTTTCTTCGTGACTACATCCTCAGTAAGCGGTGAGTAATGTTCATGCCAGCGACCGTAGCTTTGTTCTTGTGTTCCGTGTGTTCCATGTGTTCCAAGTGCTTGAGTTCCATGTGTGGTGATCTGTTCATTTTTTTTCAGCAGATGATAGTGAGTGGCATATTGCATGGACAAAGGTGTAACCACCCCTGGCGCGATGCCGTAGTCGGTCCACCCAATTCCCAGCCAAGCAGTTCACCTAAAAATATGTTTCGGGTAGGTACCTGGAGGAGGGCGACGACTCGTATGTGCCCAGTTACGAGGAGGTGGTGCATGACTCGGATGGGGACCTTTCTGAAGACGAGCGCACCCTTGGACAGCAAGAGCAGTTCGAGCACAAGTTCAACTTCAGGTTTGAAGAGCCCGATCAGGAGTTTGTGAGTATGACTCCGTGCATCCGTAACAGGGAGTGTGAGTCTAGAACTCATCATATATGGCGTGTATTGCGAGTGGGCTGAGAAGACGTGCTACCTAATGTCCATAGCCTTGTCGATGTGGCATTGGAATAATATTTTCTAGCGTTTTTGACCGTTCTTTTGACCCGTTAAATTCGTTTCCCGAAATCCGGTCAACAGTTAAAGCAGGAGAACTCAAAATATCGTGCCTTAGTATCTTGCTAGTGGGGTTTTGGACTCAGTCAGCACGAAGCAATGACTCGGAGTTCTCTGGGTGCTGTCCAAAGTTATGTTTCGCCCGAGGAGTCGGCGAAGAGTGGGTCCTGGTATTTGCCATTGGTTGGTCTACCAGCCGCGTAACACCAGGCCATGACGTCATTGGTAGTATTCACCGACCGCGCTCACTGGCCGTGAGGCATGTCGACTTCGGCCATGAAGTGAGTGGTTGGTTGGTGTTGAGTGCGTCGGTCTTCGTGTAGTTCCTTTGAGTGTCAGTGAATGTGAGGGGGACCACAAAACTGCATTTACCACCTACGTTTTCGTGCTAGCCAGAAATATTGAGCATATATATATATATATATATATATATATATATATATATACACAAAAAGCCTTAAACGCCCATCGAGGTTGGCCTGCCCGAGGTTCCGCACCCATCCTTGGTAATAATCTTGCATCACCTGACCTGTCTGAGCTTAGCTGTAAATAAGATCCATAGACCAATAGAGCTTATCGAAACGATTTTTAAATGTTAGAGAGGGACTTCCTACAACGCCGTTTAGCAGTCCATTCCAATGAGCCAGCCAGCCTCATTTCTCGGAAAACAAGAGAATGGAGATATAGATGGGTTGATATTTTGGCAACATGCCTTTATGGAAACAATAGCAGAAGGATTCCAGTATGATCCAGGATTCGAAGTCGTCGCCTTCTGTTGACGCCATTGGTAACGATCTTCGGATCATATCGTCATGTCTGGTCTGGTTGGGATTGTTGGTGGGGCCACTCGGTGTACCTTAGCGGGCTGCCGTCGTTCTGGACACGTAGTATGTAAGGGTGATTTTCCTGGAGAAGAGCTTGTAGGTAGTTGCAGAAATATTCGTGAATGAGGCCGGAGAGTTGAAATTGGTGGTGCCAACCTGAAGACCTTACCAACGCAGTTGAACTGTGGCTCTCGATGAACAACATATCAAACAAATTTTCTCAAAATTGTGAATGCATAGGTATGGAATTGTTAAAAGAATGGTATTCCAGTCGGCGGAAATGAACGCTACGCTTAGGATATTTATTGTTGAATGATGTCGCCTTTTACATTGGATGCTTGGCTAATAAGCCCTATCGTCAGTATGTTACTTAGCCCTTGTTGTTGTTGAATTGTTGATTATTTAGCCCTTGATATCGTTTCAGCAGGTCTGTTTTCGATTATCGCTCCAATCGGCTGCACTTAAGTTTTCTTGAAATGTTTTTCATTCGGCACAGTTATTGTCAAATTTATTTCCGTTTCAATGTATTGTTAACCAATTTGTGTCAGTCTCGCTTGTGTATGCCACTTAGTCCGGAATGCGTTGCAGCTTCACGAAACCGTTCGTCTACAGGTCAAGCGATATCCTCGCACTATAAAAAACTCCCTGAGGAAGAAGGACGAGCGACGCAAACATGGCCGCGAAGAAAAGAAGCTGAAGAAAGAGGAAGACAAGAAGAGGAAAGAGGAAGAACTCAAGCGTTTAAAAACGCTGAAGAGGAAGGAAATTTTAGAAAAGCTGGAAACACTTAAAGAGGTTGTCGGGAATGCTGAGCTGCCTTTCGAGGTATGGACGCGCCATTACATCTTTTTAGTTTAAGAAAGAAGAGAAGCTAGTGCTTATCTGAGGCTTATCTTGTTAACATGAAACCTGTTAACGTAATATTCCGCATCTGAAGATCTTGAAGCAAGCATCAGAAATGATGACATAAGCTCATTTATAACTATTGTTGCACTTTTTAAGCGGAAAAGACTGCTATAGACGGTACATTTTCTTTGGTTAGTAAAGACGCCCCTCAATACGCCATTGCTTGATAACGTCATCGTACCTTGCACAACATTGACTTGGAACCAATTGACGACCGTTATATTTGGAAATCGTGCTCGCGGACGCCGGACATGAAGGACTCGATAATTATATTTTGCTCTGCCTCGATCGCCGCTTGGCTAATGGAGAAGCAGGATTTGAAGGACGTTGTCACAGGGTCAAAGATGCATGGATGACCTTGAAATAGGTTACCAGAAGTATTCTGCACATCTTTTCTGGTGTGTAATTCAGAAATTAGAGGGGTTTAGGTCTTACGTAAGGCAAGGCTGCGTTTTGCATTGAATGATCTTTAAGATGGCTATTTCTATCCAAAACCCCATACAAATAACGAAGTCTCTTTTTATTCGACGCTTGCTCCGTGTCGGCGTCAGTGTTGACGGGTCGATGCATGCGGTTATGAATGTCTGTATTGTCGGATGTGTGCCGTAATTGATACGCACAGGCGGATATTGTGAGTTATTGGGTGTTAAAGGCGCGTCGTCTGCGTTGGTTATTTGAACCTTGTTGTGACTTACGCGTCTTAATAAGTGAGCATAACACCGAGTTTCCACCACAGGCAAACGACCTGGATACCGACTTTGATCCTGATAGCCATGACAAAAAGATGCAAGCGATGTTTGGGGAGGATTACTACTACGGCGCAGAAAACGACGAGGAAAAGCCAGTCTTTGACGACGACGGTAACCGTACGATGGTTCCCGGTGCTCTCAAACATTAGCCGTCGCAGGCGAAATTGAAGTTGAAGCTTTACCAGGACGGCGTCTGTTCGCGACGGATGTGTTCTGCGTAGCCATTTGCATCTGCGTAGCCATTTGCACGAACCCTGCCTGCTTTGGTGTGATGCAACGGTGCCAGTCTTCGTGTCGCATTGAAATGTCGAGGCTGTTTATAAGCGTCAGATATCGAGCTGATGGCTAGAAGAGTGAGCTGCTCCTCTGCTCTGCTAACGGGCTGCCGTGTCCGTCAGAGGACTGGGACAACTGGGATCCGGCCACCGAGGACGCTGGAGAGCCGGCCGCTCCTACCCACCAAGATACAGCCGCGCCTGCCTGCGAGCAGCCCGGCTTTGTGGTGAGGCCCCGGCACCGCGCCTGGTCACTGGATGTTACACATGTGGTTGCTGCGTTGTGTTGCCTCTGGAGCTGTAGGATGCAGCCTCGTGGATATTGATGCATCTGTCGAGGTCTTATTTGGGGGGGGGGGGGGGGGGGGGGAGGGAGGCTGGACGGGTATCTGTGGAAGCCATGCTTTTAAAAAATTAAATTGCGTAGTGCATTGGATCATAAAGAAAAGTCAAAACTATGAGGCTGCTCGCTTTTTTACACATGCGACTAGTTGAGCCATGTATGCGGCTTTCGTTAAGAGACCAGTTCTGAGTTGATTGATCAGACTCCCCACATTCAAGTGGCTGTCGCTGACACGATGCGCTGCGGGTCGGCCGGACACCAGTGAACTCTCTTGACCGCGTGTCGCGGATGCCACCAGATGGACTGTGAGTACGACGGTCGGGCTGCCACGCAGCGCCAGCTGCTGGAGGCGACGGGACGCGGCCGGAAGAAGCGGCGCGGCAAGCTGGCTGAGATGCTGCGCCGCCCCAAGCCGCGCTTCCAACCGGGAGGCGACCAGGCGCTGGCCGAGTACATTGACCAGTACTACCGGCTGGATGAGGCGCTCAACCCGCATCCGTTCCAATACCGCCAGGTTACGGCCAATGACTTCGGCCTGGACGCCACTGAGGTCAGTGTCTGGGGTGGGGGGGGGGAGGGGGGGGGGCATGGAGGGGGGGGGGGGGGGGGGCGCTGCTCCTTATGGATTTGGGCCGCCGCCGAGTGGGTAAATACCACAATGACTTCGGCCTGGACGCCACTGAGGTCAGTGTCTGGGGTGGGGGGGAGGGGGGGGGGGGGCATGGAGGGGTGGGGCGCTACTCCTTATAGATTTGGGCCGCCGCCGAGTGGGTAAATACCAGGCGGCGAGTGCCATCGAGCCGAGAAGAGGGACATAATGGGTACTTGAATATTCCTTACACTTTGCTGTGGGAAGGGCAGTAAAGGCTTTTTGCCCGAGCATAGATAAATGTGACTTGAAAGAGCCAGTGGCGGGTAATGCTGGGCCTACATTTGGTGGAAATTGCTACGTCCTTTCCGTGGGACTTGGTGGTGCCCTTCACTGTATGCATGGAACGTGTAGACGAATGGTGCCTGTATCTGTCTAGATTCTGATGGCGGACGAGAAAGACCTGAACCGGTGGGTATCAGTGAAGAGGATGTCCCAGTACCGACGTGATGAGGAGGAACTGCTAGACGTCAAGAAGTACAAAGCGAAGGCCTCGAATCTCGCTTACAAGCAAAAGATACTGCAGAGTCTGTTCAGAAAGTAAGAGAAGTTTGTTCTGTGTGGTTATTGTTTATAGTACTTGACATTATCTCTCGTATTTTTGGGTGAAATGCGATTTGGCCTCTTCATAATCGGCCAACAATCGGTATCCATAATTGGCGTTCCCGAACGTGTTCGAAAGCTCTTCGTGCTCAGTGATTGGCTGCCACATTGAAGAAATTGCTGCTTGCATTGCTGCTGTTAAATGTAAGTTAGCCAATTATTTCTTGGATTTGCAGGTTTTTAGAGATGATCATTTTCACCAGCGTCCGCTGATTCTGTTATTGTTATCACTGATTCCTTCCAGCTTACCAGATGAGGGAATGGCAAACTGACGAACTTGGGCAACTTTGCGAATGGCTCGCGTTGCAGCTAACAGCTTTTGTGTTGTCTCAGGGATGGCGAACCTGAAGAAGACCCGGAAACATATGAGCCGCAAAAGAAAAAGAAGAAAAAGCGAAAGAAGAAGGAGAAGGAGATGGCAGATGAATCAAACCAACACGAGCGACTGGAGCTGCATAGAGTGGCTACGGCCGCCGACGGTTCCACTGCATCTGATGACAGATGTGCGGAAGATCCCGGTCAGCAACCGGATGCGCAGGAATCACGAAAGCGGAAAAAGAAGAGTAGAAAGAAGGAAAAGGATGAAGAAGCTGCCTCCCAGCAGGAAATATTGCCGGGCCTTTCAACAGGGAATGGAAACGACGTGGGAGAGAACACAGATGTTGCAAGGAAAAGGTCGAAGAAACGCGAAAGGAGATCTTCGGAGGCCTTAGTGTTAGCCGGTAGTACCGAGGAGCTCGACGAAGAGCAAGCGCCAAAGAAGAAAAAGAGATCGCATAAGCACGCGTGTGAGGATACACCTAGTCTCCCTGCGGCTGCCTCTGAGAATGGCTCACACGCAAGTCCGGCGCGTAAACGAAAACGTAAGAAAGGTGACGGTTGTGCTGGTGACGGAGTAGCACCAGAAGCCGTGTCTGATGAACCGGAACTCAGGCAACGTGGCGAGAAGCCCTTGAAAAAGAAGCATGGTGCTGTGGGGGCGCCCGCAGAAGGGGTCGACAGGACAAAGCACAAGCTGGGCGGACAGCGGAAATGGAAACAGCGACCGAAGGAGGGCACTCAGGCTGCCATGGTACTGTCGATGTCGGACGCCAGGCTCGAGGCGTTCGGCCTCAACCCCAAGAAGATCCGGGGCAAGGTGCTGTACGGCGCCAGCGCGTCGTAGCGCCGGTGATGCGTGCGTCGATGGCAGTGGTGGTCCCTGATTACGGTACGTGTTGTATCGTTATGCGACCGTTTTGTTTGCGACTGTGCGGATGGCATCGCGGCATTGGGGATATTTGATGACGATGATGATGATGGTCGATGTATTGATGGATGATGGTTGATGGTGCTACCGTGAGTGATGATGTATTGACTTGCGACCGGGGTAAATAAAGTGTTCCCATCATGATGGTACAAAATGATGGAATTTTATTTTACGGGCGCCTGTAGCACAGCATTGGACACCTTGAAGCAATAAGCACAAACGCGACGACACAGAAAGTGAATCTTTACGTGATGGCTTGTTTAGGGACGCGATTTTTTGTGGGCTTCTTCCATGCAACGCCACGGGATGCGCACTGAACTCCGTGCCGAAGATCGAATAGGAGAAAGAATACTGCCGCTGTAACCCCCTGCATCGTCCCTGACTGCTCTCGCCAACTCAAAGTTCTTCCCTCGTAAGTCAGTGGATCCCCAGAAAAATTGCACCAAATTCGCGCTTTATTCCGTTTCTTGCCAAGTCACGTCCGAATGCTATTTTTTAAGGGGTTTGGGTTGACTGCCTGCTCTACCCCCACCTTCGCCATGCGGCCACTTATCCAGTGCTTTACAGCACGAACATTACCATCCTGTTCCTCGGGAGCACCGTGCGGCGTGCGTGGTTTGTCACCTTGCGTTCGAAGGATTGCATTTTTAGGAGTTGCTAGCATGTGCACGTCCACTGACGTTAAGCCGCATGTTTAGCTTTGCGGCGACCTGATTGTCATGTCCCTCAATTGGGGTCCGCACCCGGCAGAGTGGTGGGTTTCTAACTCGATGCAAACAACGCTTGCAATGCAATCAGTAACCTAAAGGGATTTATGCGGAAACAAGCGTTATGTTAAGAAAGTGATAGTGTTCCTTCATTATCCAGGTTCGAAATTGTAATAACAGGGGGGCCTGCCGTGGGTCCGTATTGTTAATCGCTATGTTGTATTTTCCTGTTTGGTAGCGGCTCTGCCATATGGCCCCGCCGTCCAGAAGTGTCACCGTAGCACTCACTTATAGTACCTCAACTCGCCATGAGATGGCAGTGGCGATGCTGGCCGTGATCGCTTAGCCAAACGTCATTTGCGCTCGTGTATTGGCCCATCTTTGAGTCATGAATTGTATCACATTTTTCGTAAATTTCACAAGCCGATCATTTCTAACAGTCTTGTGTCGGCGGGTCACTTGGCCCGAACGAAAATGGTAAGATGAGACAGCATACCGCAAACCAATGAACAGGCCTAATTAACAAAGTGGCCCGTTGTTGCGCTAGACACGTCAGGGCGTCTAGCTCCACAAGACGTCAAGATACCGGTGACGTACCCTCACGAATTGGAAATCATGGATCCGCCCCCGGATCATGCAGTTATTCTGCTAAAAACGTCTCAATTACGCAATCTACATGTGGTGCGAGAGCTGCCCGACCATGGACGTAGGATACGGGTAGCATAATGGATAAGATGCGCGTCTGGGAAACCGGAGGTGTGGGGTTGGATTTCCCGCGCAACCTACCTTCCCTACCAGAGTGACAGGCAGGCGGCGCCATGTTGCAGCAGCAACCAAGCGCGTCGCGGCGACAGCGACGGCGACGACCGGCAACATGCGTTGGCCGTTGCAAGGCGCTGCCGTTTGACAACAGGTTGCCGCATTTGCGGCGCTGCCTTTTGACAACAGGTTGCCGCATTTGCGGCGCCTCCCGGCCAATCAATTAGCTCTGGGAGTGACGTCACAGGCAAACCAAGTAGCTAGGCCATAGGTTGATTAGGCTTAGTGATTGCAGTTGCCGTTGAACAGTGGTGCCTTGGCATAGACCGAGGGCACGCGGAGATCAGGATCTGACCCGCTCATAAAGCGCCAGTTGGCAAATATCCTAGCATTGCCATGAAACCATGACTTTTTTGTCATTAAGCAAAGCCTTCACCTCAGGTTATTTGGCAATTTGAATGATAATACGGCTTATACGTCGATGGCACATTGATCGTGGCATTTGGTCAGCACTGGCGATGGCACACACTAAGAGCGCCGCGAGTCGTTCGGTATGAGTCATGTATGGCGAGTCTGCAAGTGACTGGAATGCAAATAAGAAAAACTTATTTATTTTGCACTTTAAAAGCGGCACTTGGAAACCCAACCACAACCGCAGTAACTCCGCACGTGCACGATCCATTGAACTGCATGCACTGGTCCCCGAACAACCCAGTCATAAAACAGCTGCCATGATAGCTTTCACTGTGGCTCTCAAGAGCTGGCTTGGCTGGTGTGTCATGACCGCAGCACTGTCTGCCAAGAGACGTCAGGCTCGGTCGTCAGCTGGCGTTCCCTCCAAACTTGAGTCCGCCGCGCACGGTTGTGGACGGAAAAGAAGATGGCAGTCAGCAGCGCGTGGCGAGATGCGCCGGAGCTTTCTCGTTCCGTCAAACGCAGCATGCGTGAGCACTGTACGCTTCTCAGAATCAATATCAGTGTTCATGCTCCTCAGTATCAGTTCGTCCACCTAGGGACCCCGACACGGGAGCGAGTGCGGAGTCAGCCAGCGCTGTCACGACCTAGCCAGGGCCGGCTGGCGACACCTGAAGTCTCCACCGTCGTGGCGTCGGGGCTGTTCCTCCGCGGCACCACGGGCCCGCCGGTGTGACGTCACTCCAGCACAGACTCGATCTTGTCCGTGCCGCGGACGGCCGGCTCCTCGGGTCCCTCGTCCACGGGCAGCGCCTGGTGCACAAACGCGTTGCGCCCCGTCTTGAAGTCCTCGACCGTGTCGCCGGAGCCGTGCAGCACCCACTTGGTGGTGAGCAGGCCTTCGACGCCGACCGGACCGCGCGCGTGGATGCGGCCCGTGCTGATGCCCACCTCGGCGCCCAGGCCGAACCGGTAGCCGTCGGCGAAGCGCGTGCTGGCGTTGTGGAAGACGCAGGCGCTGTCGACGCCGTCCAGGAAGCGGGCTGCCTCGGCGGCGTTCTCGGTCACGATCGAGTCGGTGTGGCCCGAGCCGTGCTCGTGGACGTGCTCGATGGCGGCGGCCGTGTCGTCCACCAGCTCGATGCAGCACTCGAGGTCGCCGTACTCGGTGCGTAGGGACGAGGCCAGCGGCGGGCCGAAGGTCAGCAGAGAGTTCAGCCGCGGCCCCGAGCGCAGCTGCACGCCGTTCGACTTGAGCATGTGGCAGATGCCGTCGAAGATGTGCGGCACCTTCATGAGGTCCTCGTGGAGAAGCAGCGTCTCCATAGCGTTGCACGCGGCTGGGTAGTCGCATTTGCTGTCCTTGACTGCGAATCAAACATACCAAACAGCGTCAAGGCATTGCGAATAGGCCGGCAGCACCGGGCAATGCTATAACTATTTTTACAAACGGGCAAGCACGTCGTTGACAAGACGTGTCTGAATACACAAATGAAACTAGTGAGCAGACGGCAACATTTTTAGTGATTCATACTCAACGCTTCTAGAGGCTGCTGAACACTGAACAGACTCACGACCCGTAGTTAATCCCTTACCAATCTGTAGCGCTTTTTCCATATCGGCGTCCTTATCGATGTACACGTGGCACACGCCTTCGCTATGACCCAGCACGGGGATGTGGCGGCTCTGGGTCTGGATCTCGCGCACCAGCTCGCCGCTGCCACGCGGGATCACCAGGTCGATGCAGTCGTCCAGCTGCAGCAGGTCACTGATCTCCTCCCGACCACTGACCTGAGGAAGCGGTGTGATCGGGTCATGTACCTGGGTCCCGTACAGGCCTTGTCACCGCCTGGTGGGTAGGGGGATGGCGGCGGTAAAATATGCCGAGGAGAAAATACCATGTTACATCGTAATCAGAAAATGTCAGTAGCGGTGTGCTATCTATACTACTGCCTGAAGTGACGAGAACCGCTCAAACACTTTGTATTTGTCACTCCCGTGCGCAGTTTGCACGGCAGTCCGTAATTCGGTTTTTGGGGAAGGAAATGCCGGCAGCCAATATCGCACAACTCGCAGCAACCCAAGCAACTTGAATTGGATGGATCTTCCAAAGCGCATGCACAGTTCTGGGAATGGTTCTCACCAGTCCTACGGCGTTCTTGGCTCCGACAGTGGACAACGCCTCCTTAACCAGCTGCATGAGGTATTCGTTGCTGTGCTTGGCCTCGCGTCCACCCTTCAGGAGAAGCCCGTTACCCGTGCTGATGGCCAGAGACGCCACCTGCAAGGGAAATGTTGTGATGACTGCCCAACGCTGCCAGTTTCCGCTGTGCAAGAAATGCATCAGACCCTAGACGGCGTGCGCAACGAATGAGATGGCTCGGTGCTGAGTATTTATCAGATGCACATCAAGGTGCGGCCCGCCTAAACCAATTATGTACGTAACCGCGTACCAGAATTATAACAGTATTCAATACCACAAACGAGCCAGCGATTAGCCAAACGTTCATCAATCCACCACGGTACTCACATTCAACACGTTTACCAACCAACGAGAGCGCACTCTCATCGTCACCTTAGGACCTATCACTCCTTCCACCCCTCCACGTCACGGCCACACTGCCGCGCGCTCACCTGCGGCAGGCAGTCGGGGCGCGACTCGAAGATGACGAGCAGCACGCCGAGCGGCACAGTCACCTGGCGCAGCTCCATGCCAGGCGCCAGCTGCGTGCGGCGCAGCACGCGGCCCAGCTGGCGCCGGCCGTCGGCGGCGATCTGACGCAGCCCGCTGGCCAGCTCGGCCAGCTTCTCGGGCGTCAGCTTCAGCCGCGCCTGCAGCGCCTCGGACAGCCGCTCGGCCTTGGCCTGACGCAGGTCCTTGTCGTTGGCGGCCAGGATTTCTGGGCAGCGCGCCTCGAGCAGGCCGGCCAGAGCGGTGATGACGCCGGCTCGATCCTGCCAGCTCAGCGACTGCAGGGTGCGGCCGCCGCGCCGCGCTGCCGGCGGGGAGCAGGTCACGGACGGGCCAGACGGTTTCCAGTCTCGGTCCCACGGCTGGCTGGTCACAAGTCACATGAGCAATGCGCTATCGGCTCGTAACACGCCCATGAAGACGACTACACCCACCCCGCCCGCTCGGTATCGCAAGCGCCACTCACCGCCCTTGGCCAGCACCTCGACGGCGGCGCCACCCGGGTTCTGCTTGGCGATGAACGTGCCGACCCGCCGGCCGGCCACGATGTCCTTGATGGCCTTGTCCTGCAGGCCATTGCAGATGACGACGGAGACGCCGTGGTCGAGCGCCCAGGTGGCTGCCTTGGCCTTGGAGTCCATGCCGCCGGTGCCGACGCGGGACTTGCCGCCAAACTGCACCTCGTCGGCGCCGTCGCTGGGCACGTACGTGTCGATCAGGCGCGCGCCGTCCTGATCTGGCGGACGCGTGTACAGGCCGTCCACGTCCGTCATCAGGATGAGCAGGTCGGCGTGCATCTGAGCGGCTAGCCGCGCCGCCAGGCTGTCGTTGTCCTTGATGCTGATCACCTGGGGTGGAGAGGCCGGTGAGAGGATGTGGGAGGCGAGGGAAGGAAACACGAGAGCAGACACTTAAAAGCAAGACTTGTGTGCCCACGTGTCGACGTCACTAGCAAGGTAGGTTGAATGACAGTAAATGGAAAATGCGAATAATCTCAAGTTAAATGGTAAATGCAAATGTCGGGTTAAAATGGCGGTTGGCGTGATCAGATGTACTTCAGTGTTGAAATGTACAGAAATACGGTGGTCAAACCTAAACAGAGCGTGAAAAGAAACAGAAAGAGATACCTGGTGGATGGTGTCGGATGGCGTCGCGTGTACACAGCGAAAGACAGAATGTGAGGAGAGTAAGAGATACCTGGTGGATGATGTCAGATGGCGTCGCGTGTGCACAGAGAAAGACAGCATGTAAGAAGAGTCAAATACGCAAATACATGCGGCATGTCATGGTTATCCACACACGGGTTAGGAGATTAGGGCATTGCTGGAGTACGCGACGAATGCGGCCTCATGTGCGGCCTCCCGCTGTCGCCAGTCGCCACGGCTGCTGCTGAAATCGGTCATCCCGCTGGTGTCATCCGTCGTCGCGTGCATCGCTACAGAAGGCACCGACTTCCTCAAGCGTGGGCACTGTCCACCACCGCTCAGCACTGACCACCGCCAGTTTGCGGCGGAGAGAGCACGGGCACGGGTTGAGACGGAACGCAGAGACCATGCGCCATGCACGTAACTGGAAATGTCAGCGGCATAGTTTTGTTTTATTTAAGTTAACTTAGCTATAACTTTAAGTTTTATTAAAGGGGGTGTCACCTTAGGGGTATATCTTGCAACAAAAATGAATTGGAGAAACCTCGGAACCATTACGTCTTATCAAAGCGCTGGTGCATATACTAGCGTGAATGACGTCAGTGCCACGACAGTTTGTGGTTGACAACGGGCGACAAGGGCCAGTTACCGAGAAGCGCATTGGTTTAGGGTTGAACCAGTGGGCCGCTATAGACCATGTGATGCTCCATTTTCCCAAGCTGTAGGGCGCTTCGTAAACCGCCGCTATGGTAAATGCCGTAAGAGAAAAATCCAAAGCCATAGTATAATGTTTCATTGAATTTGCGGTATAATAGCCTCACGTTTGCTGATGTTTCATCGTTTCTTACACAGATTTTGACAACTTGGTATGCTGCAAACATTAAAGAACAAACGTGCTGGAAAAGCGTGGTAAATGAAATGCATTACTTTCATGGTGGTGAGCAGGGAGTCCAATGAGATGTCTCCAGCAGTAGCGGCTACTTCAAAATAAATTATAAACTATTCAGAGGGATCTCTATAAAACTGGTATTAATGATCAAATCGGAGGCGTCTAATCCATCAATAGATGAAGATTAAAATAAAGGTGGCATGCTCCCCTTAACGCAATGCCGTTCAGCTAAGTGACTACGAAATCTAAAACATGAAATGTCTGGTGAACGCGAATCTGAAGTTATCATTTCAGCTACCCTCCCTTCTTACACAGAACTTCGTGACAACTGCGCAAAGTAGCCTATGGATATAAGTAGATGTTTGCCTCATCTGCATTGTCTGTACGTGTTTGTCAAACAAAATACACGCAAACAAGTTTTGAATTTATCAGGAGACACACATGCGTCGTCGCTGCTATGGTTATTGAGCGCCAGCGACTGTAGTAGTTACATTTGCGGCCAGGGGCCATGGTGGAATTAAAACAACCCGCCACCTCTCGTGTGAGCCGAGGGAACTAGCCACTAGGACAGTATCCCCCTACGCATGCAAGTACCTGCAGGCATAAGATCATGCATGTTGATTCTTCCCAAAGCGTGGCCAGGTGGCGCAACTACGGGCAGCATGCTGACGTGAGGGGCGGAAAGCTGGCCACCGCTGCCCGATCTCTACACGCGGCCAGCCACCTGATCTACGGGTCTACGACAGGGTTAAGGCATGGGTGCTCGTCGCTGTTGTCGCTGGCTGCACTCACTGGGCCTTTTGCTGGCTGCAGACGCTGAAAAGAGAGCGCGGTTACCAGCGGCGGCTCGCCCAGGTGCTGGACTGCGGCACGGGGGCGACTTACAGCGCCGTTCGCAGCAGCAGACTGGAGATTGACGTACCACCCCTTTCGCCAACACTCGACCAAACAAACTGCTAGCTGTAGGGGGAAGTGCAGAGAGGCCAGCGACGTTAATTGCATTCCTTGGTTAGACCGATGCTTACATGATCGTGCCTAATTTCTTGAGAAGCGGCGGGCAACGTTGTTGAAACGCGACCGCGTTGCAAAATGAAAAAAAAATCCACTAATGCTCCTCATAAGCCAAACCAACATCTAACACGCCACTGAAAAACAGCGCATGCTCCCAGTGCAGGTGCAAAAACATAACGGACCGCACAGTGTATGAGACATGCAAGCAGGCGTGGTCCAGTGAGCTCTGCTAAGTGAGCGAGGGGAGTGGCTTCGCGGAATGCAGACTCACCCCAGCTAGGTCGTCGTCAATCTGTGCCGGCGGCGCCACGGCGTCGTTGGTGTTCACGATTGGAACGATGTTGAGAGATATCAGCTCCGACATAGTCTCGTACAGGTTCTGCTTGATCTCGTCCGAGTAGAAGTCTGGCCGTGTGATCAGGATCTGAGGTGCGATAAGACGGTTTGTTGAAAATGCTAGCAGGGTCACGTCCAAGCAACCAGCCAATTTTCGTAACTTATTCTTCACCTTCAAATGTATCTGGCCGTGTCACTAGCAACGCCACGCGCTGGCGTTGCAGGCGAGAGCGAGTGCCATAGATTCACAGTCATCGCCGCCTTGCGATTTGCTGGGAAACCAGTCGGGCTACCACCGGAGTCCGCTGCATTCCCCGAATTCATTTTAGTTCATGGGACCTCCCGAGGCTGCTCGGTGGCCGGAGGGCGTAATCAGGTTGCGAGCCACGGCGCGGTCCGTGGCCCACTCCCGTCGTGTTACGTCACCGGCCGTCGGCAGTTATCGCGTTACAACATCGGCGGGACGTGACGACGGCGGCGGGCTGAAGAGAGAGGAGCGGAGGGTTGTGCGATCTTACCGGTCGCCAGACGGCCCGCGGACCACGAGAGCGTGTCGCGTCCGATGGACACCATCGGCCACTGCGTGGTACGGGAGAGAGTGCCCCTAGTACAAATGCCCCTCCGTTTTGGACATAAACCAAACGATATAAGCCACGCGCAGTTCAACGCAGTGAGTTTTGATTTTCTATATCACGTGCAGACAATTGTGTTATTATGGTAACAACTGTTAGGGCAAGAGACAGAGACAGAGACAGACAGAGACAGACAGAGAGGCAGAGACAGAGAGACAGACAGAAAGACAGAAAGACAGAGAGACAGAGAGACAGAGAGAGACAGAGGGGCAGACAGAGAGACAGAGAGACAGAGAGGCAGAGGGGCAGAGGGCCAGAGGGGCAGAGGGACAGAGGGACAGAGGGAAAGAGGGACAAGGGGCCAGAGGGACAGAGGGTCAAGGGGCCAGAGGGACAGAGGGACAGAGATAGAGTGAGAGCGAGCGTTTGAGAGCTTGAGAGTGAAAGAGAGAGAGAGAGAGGGGGGGGGAGAGGCGGGGGAGGGGCATTGGCACATGTGTTAACGCCTAGCCACCCACAGTTCGCTCTATGTTCAGCTCTTCGTGACACAAACCGCCAACGGCCACAGACATGTGGGGCCGTTGCTTTCCCGCCTCGGTGAGCGCGCTCCACCGGGGCTCGATTAAAGCAGCCAATGCGACTTGCCGAGGGCACATGTGTAGCGTCGCGTGTCCTACCTGAGCTATCCGCACGCCGTACTGGGCGAACATGGCGTCATAGAGCGACATGAGGCCCGATTGGCCGACAGCGGCAGCCGCCCGCGGCTCCAGCGTGTAGATGCCGCTCCTCTGAAACAGTCGGCACAGGCGCCCTCTAGAGACACGCGCTCTCGTGACGACAAGATTGCTGCATGTGCTAAAAGTGCCAGCACTATTGACGTTGCTGCACATGTTGCCGGGAGGTGACAAGGTTAGATGTGAATCCCCCTCTACAATGGACAAAGAGCCCATATGTGTGGCACACGCACACACACACACAGCTGGGGCACTTGTTCTAGAATCGTTCCGGGAGCAAGAGGTTGTCAGATCTTTTCGATTATCTTATAGTTATCCCGGGTAAGAATGACACGCGGCATTATCTGATATGATGTCGACTTTTTTCAATGCGCACAAGAGCTTTGTAAAACAGATACAAGTTCCAACGCCATCCGTCGGAGTAGCGGGAGGTTGAAGTATGCCGGCGCTCCATCCGGCCGTACCCTGGCCTTGATGCCGTTGTTTCCCGAGATGGTCTCTCTCATGCTGAGCGACATGATAAGCTCTTCGGTCAGCTTCTGCTTCCCGAACGCCACGGATCCTGACGTGACCATCAGGCACTCGCGGCCCTCGTTCTGCAGCTCTGCCACCTGCGCGCAGGGGTCACACCGGGGTCACGCCGGAGCGGCACGCCCGAGCCGGCCCCAGCCCAGCACGGCCACACCACCTAACCAACATAATCGGTTGCAGGCCCCCGCAGCAACAGAAACACAGCGGTTGCGCCCCGCAGACGAACTGCAGAGATGGCGCTTGATCCGTCAAGTACGCTCCGGCGATACGCAACCTGTGAAGCGACGAGTGGTGCGGACTGCGGAGGCAGCACGAGACTTTCAGGTGCGGCGGTTCGATTGGCTGTAGAGTGCGTCACCACCAACGGCCGGACAAATCATCGACGGCGTTCGGTTGGCCAGCGTGCAAGAAAGCCCAGCGGGTGCAGAGGCGGGCTACAAGCCCTCCGAATCACCGACAGGGCCAAGCGGAGCGCGGGGCGGGGAGACCGGCAGGCTACCACTCCTCAGTGATGAAGACGAGCATGCTGATCATGTTTTCCTACCCTCTTCCATGGCAGGGGTGAACACGGCAAGTACGCAGTTCCTATGGCGCCGCTCTCACCGACGCGTTCACTGACCACATCCGTCTCAAGCTACGCCATAATACGCAGCGTGCACACGTAAACCTCGCTAGATTTTTGCCGGCGTGGTAACTTATTTTCCTGGAACGGACACGACCGGACGAAGTCTACTAATCTTACCTGCTCCACGATGGATGCGAGTCGTCCTAGCGCCAGGCCGCACTCGTCTTCACGCGTGATGACCGCAGAGCCCATCTTGACGACGATTCTGCGGGAGTTCTTCAGCTGGCTGCGCTCCTTGAACGGGGCCAGGCTGCTCTCCGATGTGATCAGTGTCCGGCCTGATGTCACGTGACCGCCCTGCGAACGGGCTGCCATTAGCAACAGGCAGACGCGCGTCACATGACAGCCTAGCAGGTCGGCCTGTCCGAAGGCCTCGGACCGCACAATGCCAGCCCAGCAGGTCTGCCTGTCTGAAGACCCCGGAGTGTACAAGACCAGTCCAGCAGGTCTGCTTGTCTGAAGACCCGGAGTGTACAATATCAGCCCAGCAGGTCTACCTGTCGGAAGGCCTCGGACCGCACAATGCCAGCCCAGCAGGGCAGCCTGTCCGAAGGCCTCGGACCGCACAACACCAGCCCAGCAGGGCAGCCTGTCCGAAGGCCTCGGACCGCACAATGCCAGCCCAGCAGGGCAGCCTGTCCGAAGGCCTCGGACCGCACAACACCAGCCCAGCAGGGCAGCCTGTCCGAAGGCCTCGGAGCGCACAATGCCAGCCCAGCAGGTCTGCCTGCCTGAAGACCCCGGAGTGCACAAGACCAGTCCAGCAGGTCCGCCTGTCTGAAGACCCCGGAGTGTACAATACCAGCCCAGCAGGTCTGCCTGTCAGAAGACCTCGGAGTGTACAATACAAGTCCAGCAGGTCTGCCTGTCTGAAGACCCCAGAGTGTACAATACCCGCTCAGGCAATCCGCGTAGATCTCCAAGATAACGGACATAATGCAGGCGTATACGCAAAAGAAAAGGGAGACAGGTCAATGCAGGGACGTCCATGAAATACACTGCGCAGTTTTATGCATTTTTCAACCGCCCTTCGCCCATGGTTACGCATTGGTTGCGTTGGGTGAAAACCCTCCCCTGGGTATTTCGTGTTAACCGCAACATCCCAAAAGGAAACGTTTGTTTGAACCCTGATTGTGGAAAAGGAACGAACCGACGAGTGTGTTGCTCATCATGAGAAGAACCCAGCGGTGTCCGGCTTTGATGTCTTAGAATGATTTAACAGGATCGCGTCATTATTTGCAACCGCACCAGAGCGTGGCATTGATCTGCGACCGTCCCTGGTAATACTTCGATTATGTTCTAACGGTCCCTCTTTCCCATCCACGCGTAACGCAACATGCGGACAGCCCCTGTTGTATGTTGCTGTGTCTTGCGCTGCAGACCTACGCACCGCCATATCGTTCGTCATGATAAGCAGAGCGTCTTAATTGCCGCTGTTCGTCATGATCAACAGAGAGTCGTAATTGCAGCCATGTACGTTGATGTCACCTTAATAGCTATCACAGAAGTGGCAGACATCCTCAAGACGCGGCATGATCTCTAACCCTTTCGTTCGACAAGTATTCGTGGAAAACATTATGGCTTCAACTGCTCAAATGTGACCATTCCAAAAACCGTGCTAAGGTTGCAACTGTCTGGGGTCACCTCTCAACCTACATGCATTATTGACACACTTCAATCGCACTAATGTGAGCTTTTTTTCTCGCGCCCCATAGATAGCTGCAGGCAGCGATGCTCCACGCGGTCGCGTTTTTGTTGAGTTCTTAACCGCAATTACTTTCGAAACGTCTGCGAGGTAACGCCATGGTAGTGTCCCACGCACAGCCTACGTAAGCGTGTCCAGTGTCCCACACACAGCCCACGTAAGCGTGCCCAGTGTCTCACAAAAAGCCTACCTAAGCGTGCCCAGTGTCCCATTCACAGCGCATGCAAGTGTGTCCAGCGTCCTAAACACAGCCTACGCAAGCGTGCCCAAATACGGGTTGAAGGCATAGCATGCCGTGTGTTGTCCGACAGGAAATCGCCTTTCCACCGCGGGATTCCGCGACTCATCGCGTTATCTTGCGTCACAAGCGGCCAGTTACCAGGGGCCCGGTCGTCCATACCGCAGGTCCCAACGCCGGCCGTCACACGGAGCCAAGGTGATGGGGCTCACCACTCCCGGACTAACGGTGCGGCAGGGGGGGGGGGGGGGGGGGGAGGGTGGCAGGGCATGGGGAGGGTGAGGCGGGTAGAGGCCGCCGCACGGACCCGATCCGACCCGCGCCTGTCGGCACGCTCCGATGACGTCACATCGGCACCTCAGCATGCCCGACGACCTCCCACGCCGAGCGGCACATGGCGCCCTGATTCTGAGACGGCCTTGAGCAAAGGCAGACTTTCACAGCAAGGCTGACGAAGATTCTGGGGCTCCTAGTACGCATTAGATGCTAGAAAAGGTGTAACAGTCACGCAGTCGGTGGAGGAGTGTGTTGCCAATCTTCACTGCGCGAGGATATTAAACTATATGCATTCGGGTTTTCACGTACATTTGAGCTATAGCTTAACCCATATACAGTGCAGTGGCTAGTGTAGTCGGAAATGTCAAGAGATGATTTCATGATAGGGCATGTAACATTACTGTACGCATTACTACGAGGCATCAAGCTTTTACTACAATAATTTAAATTGACGCAGGTATTCCCGCTGCCTTCATGACCGATTTGGGCTGTGTGCCACACTGCCTTCATCAATCACGCGGCTTAGCCAATGGATGCGGCCAAGGTGTCGACGTGTTTTGAAGGAACTTTGACGTCCGTTCCCAGGTACAGGGCAGTAATCTGGGGATCAGGATCTTGACGTGGTGGACTCCCCAGCCCCCCCCCCCCCCCCCCAACCGTTCCGTCCCGCCCGCCGCCACGTCCGGCACCACGCCACGTGGCACCGGATCCGCCAGCTCAACTGTCATGCGGCACCGGCGGCCGTTTTTGGCAGCCTTTTCCACGCACGCAGCCCGGCGCGCCAGGAATACCACCGCGTCGGCCCGGCCGACGGCGACTGTACCCGCCAGACCAGGCCAGGTCAGCGGTATCTAGGTCATCACTGTGCACGGCACCCCCGTGCGCGCCAGGCCGGTCGATACGGTAGCGGCGAAAGTGACGCTGCACGCCGGGTCGAGGTGGGTAGGTGGTACAGCAGGTGCCGTCCGAGCGCGGTCGGCAACAGACAAGGCCGGAGGCGGGACCCGCCGGCCCGGTCACGTAACAGGTGTGTACCAGTGTGAGCCGGCCGGCCTGTGCGACCGCTGGCACCGCGGCTCAAGGCGCGCACAGCTGGCGGCGGCCGAGTGACGGCCGCGCGATGTGACGGCGCCGAACTTTGGGCAGGCGGTGAGCGGCGTGGGCCCGACGCGCCGCCCAGCTCCGGTGGCCCGCAAAACGGCCTGACGTTGGACAGGCAGGTAAAGGGCAGCAGAACAAATGCTCATGCATAGTCCACTGGTTCAGATGCAAGGGTTCAATAGGCATAAATTATGCCTGATAACGTAAAAAAGCATCGTCCGATCACGGGATCACCTTCCGGATGCACATGATACCAAGGTGGTGCCCAACGGTCGGAACGGGACCATTTGAAGCCGTTTGCAAGCGGAGGCAGCTGCAGATACTTTGCTTTCTACCGTCTCATTACGCAGCCTGTGGGTTGAAATAAAAACGCATTTGTCAAAGGCCATTATGCACACAACTTGTACTACGCCAGCGCGGAGTACTGTGTGCTAAGATCTAGACAGTTTATTTAGGCCAATCAATAAGATCATGAAAAACCACACCGGACAGGCGGCTCCCTGCATGCGACACCCATCCCACCCTACCGGTGGGCTTACCTTTTTCCAGGAGGCGGTGGAGAAGAGGCGGACGCCGCATCCGATGCGCGGGGCCGCCGCTCGGCCGGCGGAGGGGGAAGCGGCCGCCAGCAGGGCACCGGCCGGGCGCCGGGGGCCGGCGGAGGGGGAGGCGGCCGCCAGCAGGGCACCAGCCGGGCGCCGGGGGCCGGCGCGGCCCGTCCGCACGCGATGGGTCAGCGCCAGCAGCGGGCTGGTGCCGGCGGCGCGGCCCAGCAGGCCGGCCGACGGGCTGCGCAGACGAGCGGGCGCGGACATGACGGTCACGGCCGTGGCTCACCGCCGAGTGAGCGTCGGCGCCTCAGCTGGTGGTGCCGGCTGTGCGCGCGCAGCCCCGGTGCCGGCTGACCGTAAAGCCGTCGGGGGTCGCGTCAGACGGGCGGGCCTGGCAGCAGCAGGCTCGATGGCGGCCTCAGAGCGGGTGCAGCCACCGACGGCCAGCGTCGGAGCCGAGCGGGGTGGAGAGCTCGGCCTAAACGTGCTACGGCGGGTGCTGGGCCGGAGTCGAAGAGGGCTGGGCCGGACCTGACGGAGGATGGGCTGGACACAACGGAGGCTGGGCCGGACTAGATGGGCTGGGCCAACCTAGACGGGGGATGGGTCAGACTCGATCGGGGATGGGTCAGACTCGATGGGGATGGATCAAACTCGACGGGGGATGGGCCTGGGTCGGACTCGACCGGGATTGGGACAGACTCGACGGAGGCTGGGCCGGACTCGACGGAGGGAGGGCCGGACTCGACGGATGCTGAGCCGGGCTCGACGTGGACCTGTGAGCGTTCGCTGCTGCCTTGGCTCGAAGACGTTCCACAGCGGAGCTATTTCGGTCCGTAGCCCTTCTCCAGCGGAGCCGTCTGGATTCTCAAGTATCCCGGGCAGACTGCTTCTGGCTGCAGACGTGCGCTGCAGACGCTGGTTTCGGCTGGCAAAGGGGTCTGGCTCCCTGCTATCCGAGGTCGAAGTTGTCCTGGCGCCGTCCCAGCGAGGAATGGCTCGGGGTCGCACTGGAGCCGCCGACGCAGAGGATTCCAGGCATGGACAAGACGGGACGCGGGCGGTAATCAGCTGCTCGTGCTGGTAACGCTCGAGTCGTTCTGGCCTCGGCCCGGCCCGCCTCGCTCAGGTAGCTCACCTGAACCCGCCCCGGGCTAGCGCATCTCACCGGTGATTTTCCATCACCCTCCGCGCCTGTCTGCGTACCTTTCCATTACTTCTTATCGGCTTGCCATCATCAGTGGTTCTCAACTTACAGCGTGGTGACGTGACGATGTCAGACTTGGCGGCCTTCAATGCAAAACCAACATCACGTCTAGCTGAAATAGTAGATATACGGATACACCAGAAGTCACCGCCCGTTCCAGGAAAACTGTGGTGAGCGGTGGCTTTCCTTTATGTCACTAAGCTTACGCACCGCGGAGTACAACGCAAAATGTTGCACCGAAGACCCGGTACCACAGGCGCGCGAGTTTTCTGACGGGGCGTGTGACAGCACCACGTGCTTCTAGTCTGCTTGTTTTGAGTATCTACCTCTGTTTTGTGATTCACACCAGTTGGAGATGGAGTCACATTAATCATGCTAGACTTTAGTTCGACTTAAATTCGCAAGCACATCAGTCATAGTCACAGTGGCGACAGGGAGGCAGCTACTGTGATTTGCGGTGCGAGGGGTGCTATTTTTTACAAGCAAGCAACAGACCCATAGACAATATCTACCCACTGCGAACGGACTAGCGGACCCCACAAGCACGAGTAGATGCCGTACGTAGCCTATCAATGAGCCATCGATGTTAGTTTACCCTGCTTTCTCAGGCGGGTGTTTCGCTGCGTGCCATGCATATTCTGTTATCCGCCAGTCTTGTTACTAAATTGAGGCTGTTATACTCTTCGTGTCGCAGCCCGTGGTGGCATCGATGAGACTTACAACCAAGTAGTAGTTCTGATCACCAGATCTTGGATTTATGTTCAGTAGTGTCTTGAAAAACTGCGCTCGAACCTGACAGGGGTTAAAGTCCCGAGGCCCCCTTTGGCTGCGCCATTGACTTCGATGGATATAAAAAGTTGACAAGTGACGGTACGCACAGCATGTCCCCCCCTCCCCCCCAGCCCCATATTCGTCATCGATAGAACCTAGCATGCGCCCAGTTGGGCGTGTGGTTCGCTTTTCCCGCGAACGCCGTTGCAAAATGTGAGTGGGATCTGGCTGGACTCTGGCCGGTTGCCCAGTCGTATCCAAATTCTGGCGCAGCATTTGCTAGCAGTTGCACCGCAGCTGCTTTCGCGTAGGCGGTGGTGTGAGTATTGTGTTTGTCGTCTTGCGCGGTTTTTTATTGCATGATAGTGATCCAGGTGAGTCAGGTGCCAAGCCAGGGGAGTTCAGAAATCGTATTTGAACCGTGCATCCAAAAACATTGAGCTTGCGTTGAACGTGCCAATAATGGGTTACTAACTATAAGTTACCAAATTGCCGGCATCGTCCGATGGTAATCGATAGTTATAAAGCCAGTTGGCCTATCGATCGCAGTTTTTCGAAGTTTCGTTCAGGCAACCAAGCAGCCTCATTTGAGCTACGTGATTGGTGTGTAATGTCAAACACGGTGCCAGCCCAACGTGAATCAAGCCTAGTGTTAAACTGTTTAACTACGGACAACGGTACTCTTGCCGGTAGAAGAACGTTCCAACCTTTTATGACCAGGTAACTGAGTGAGTTCCGAAGGACGAAGGCCTTGGTTTGAGGGTTTCACAGTTTCCGTTGGTGTCCTTTTGTCCACTTGTCACTCTCGAGCAGTGCTTTCAGGAACTTATCCACCAGCGGAGTCATGCCTTCATGGAACATCCGGGGCACTGTGACGGAGTCTCTTCCGCGACGTCGGTGGAGCAGCAAGGGCAGTTTGAAGCGTCGAAGTCTCTCGGATCATGGCCGGCGCATTCATGGACGTATTTCCGTTATTTGCGAAGACATTGGGAATGCATTTCACCTCCCCGGTCGATGTAAGGTAGAGCTGCTAAACCGTAGATTACTCAACACACATTGCCGTTGAACTGGGCTAGCTTGACCCCACCTGTTTATTGCGTAGGACCAGGTGAAAGTTAAATTGGCACTCGGTTTCAGTGTCAGTTCAAAAGGGCAATCGTGCACCGAGCGCAAACGTCCGCAGCCATTTTGCCACAGTCATTGCGTGTTCGTGGGGAGCGTTTTGAGTGCTCTGCGCTGCGTTTTGCTTTTGCCTCTGTATGGACATAATTCACAACAACCACCGCTTGTAAGAATTTTATAAATGACTTTGACTATGAATATGAGTAGATATTTCTTATCGGTTTAAACTTGGTGGGTTCTTGATTTGTCACTTTTCAATGGCCATGTAGAAAACCGCCTGCTTGGCCTATTTTGGTTATTGGCATATTTGGTCATGCGCCTATTTTGTACTTGGACACCAGATTACAAGACCAAACAGGTCCAGTAGACTCTTCCAAACGATGATGTTGTTAGCAAATGCAACACCAAACGCCATGAAGGCTGTTTGAAAACAACATCGCAAAATGTGATTTTCGGAATAGGAAGGCAGCATACAAGGTTTACTTTGTAAAAATGTGGTGGAAATAACTGGTCAACTTCATGTGATACAATTTGTCCCGGGATAAAAAGGGATTGATTTCCCAGGTTGGGAAAACATTATGTACCTTTTCCAGCACTGTTTAACCTTTTCAGATAAAATAACGCATCATTAGAGTTCATATTGTTTTATAATCATGTTAATGCTAGAGTTCGTGCGAAGAGAAGCAGCGCAAGAACAGAGGCTTAAACGCGTAACTTCTCATATAAAACAACCTGTACTTCGGCCAGGTGAGGCTAGGTCCTAAAACTTGAAGTGTAAAGCAATTTCGCCCCTGCCCAGTACTACAAATGTTTAAACAAGACATTGGCAATGCACTGCATGAGTTACTAGCTCTTTGAAATATTGGAAAAACAGGCTGAGGCTGAGTCCCAACTGGGCCTGGCAACGTCAGAGGCCGGCTGGCGCCGTTTCAGACGCCTGGTCGCGCCCTTGTCGGAGCCATCCTGACCCCGCTCTGCTCCGCAGGTTTCTTGCTGGGCCCATCCCTGGCACGGACTCGTGCCCAGCTGATATACAGCGTTTCTACCAAATAGGAACGGACAGGGTCCCTGTTTGTGCCCAGCGCCTGCTCAACCCACGCCAGTCTCATGGTATCTGCCCAGCGTGTGACTTGCTGGCGCCCAGCGCCCGGCATCTCCCAGCGTGCGGCGAGACGGCCTGACTGTGGGCAGGCCGCGGTCGATCAGAACAATGCTGTTATGCCCATCTGGAGCTGTGCTGGGTTTCCTGTCATTACCCAGCCAGTCTGCCCGCCTGGGGCCCGGCCGGGTTCATTATAAAATGTAAGCTGGGTACCTGTTATGGCCACAGTTTTTTTTTTGACGTCCATCTTGCTTAGTTTGAGAGCCACTGAGGAACTTGACAGGCTCGAGTCACGAAGAAGGTGCGTGCTCGACGCGCCCACCCAACCAGCAAAACAGTGGCCACTGTCGTCAAAGCAGCGCGAGGAGGAGGGTGGGTCGCATCGACTGGACGCGTGCAATGGGGCGTCCCCGGCCCTGATATGACAGCTGAAACGACTTTTCTACCAGGAACATCAGGTGGAGAATAACCCGCGCCCGCCCGCTGAAGAATCGGCACCGTGTGACATCTTAACCCACTCAACGAAATTTTAGTTCTGAACGGAGTTTATTGCCTGCAGAGTCGTGTCGGGCCTGCAATGTGGAGGTTTTAGGCGGTAGCGATGGTAGGAGCTACCACGTTAGAATGGATGGTTGCAGCCATAGGTGAAGCACGGCAGAATCACAAACACCAAGGTGAGAATCATGGCGAATTAAGGTGATTTTACTGCAATTTACGTGATATTCTTAAGCAAACTGCATTTTAAAGGAATATTCGGCCACGGACTTTGCTCGCGGAATCGAAAAGTTTGAATATCAAAAGGACATCAGATATTAGCTAGCCTTGACAGCGTTTTTCCCAGCACGTGATGGAATGGCAGATTTTCCACGCTTCGACCAAACGGTACAAAATACCACACACTGTCACGACCCATTTATCTGTTATTCCATGCACGACCCCGCTCAAAGATCAACTTTACCCAGATGGTTAGGTCTCCTCCGTCAAACGGCGTTGGTTTTATGTCGCTGCGACGCTGGACCTTCGGAATCTAGGCCCGCTTTCGACCAGTGCGGTGCGGTACAAGACAGGTTATGCGGTGCGGTACAAAATATGATGTAGTGCAGTACATTACAGGCAAAGATGAGCAGTAATGAGATGCAAAGCGCTTATGAAAAAAATGAGCACCGGGACTGATAGAGACGATGAAATGTGAAAATCCCTGCCTTGTTTAAACAGAACTCGCAGTTGCTTTGCGGTCTCGCTAATGACACAACACCCAATCGAAAATCAACTCCACAACCAACGATGCTGTTAAATGCATTTCAACGTGAAACACATATAACCAGCATCGCCATGAGTATTCACGGTCATAGGAAAACGTCATTTTTTCCCTGGTTCCAATGGTGTTGGGAAATACCTCTCACTGGTCCATGCTGACCGTCAATGCCCCCACGTTGGACTTGCAGACAACGTGAGCCGGCGGGGGGCGGAGGAGGGGGTGCGAAGAGACTGGCAGAGGGGAAAATTGGTAGCGTGTTGCACGATATCCGCACCTGGATGACCACCTTGTCAGAGGGACGTGTTTTCTTCAAAGCCGTCCGTTTCACCTCACTCCGTTTTGCATGAAGCCAACCCCAGTTGAAACTGCAATTGCCTGACGAGCGCCACCAAAACGATCTTAACGGCTTGTGTTCTCAAGGTGCATATGTACCTTTTTTGCATGCATAGAAGTTCAAGAAAAGACTTTGATGCCACTTTACCCGTACTTTTCCAAAAGTTGAAGGTCAATAGGTAGACGAAGTTGGGTTCCAGGAGCACCAAAATGACACCTTCCATCATGGAAGTGTTTTCAAAATCTTCCGGATTGTGATCGTAACCATCCACGACACTAAATGATAAGAAGTCCGGCGGTAATGCACGCTGAAAAGCTGCGAGGATCGCAAACATCCCATCTGCCTCACTGAAAAGTAACACGCTCTAGTTAAAAACCCATGCCGATCGAATTATATGAGGGAGTACCATTGCGGCGCTTATATTCGCTCTACCAGCGATGATGGCGTGCGTTTGGTGAACTGTGAATGACTGAGCTTCTGTAAACAGTGCAACTAAAATGCAAAACCATCCGAGAACCATGTGGCCGCGTTAGTGCGCAGGAGTCGGATGGCAGCAACTGCAGTCCGTCTTGCATACAAGCATGATCCTGTCGTATGGTCTTACTGCACAAACGCAGCCTTTTTGACGGTACACCAATATCTAGCAGTAGATGACGGCCCAGGCAGGTATATGCTGCTACCTCCGGAGAGTTTGTAGCCTACGATAAGACCGAATAATTTCAGGATTAGCTATGCGTGCCTACAGCCACATGCTGTCATATCTGTGCGGCCACATGCTCTCATAGATCAGGAAATCACTGCAGGATCTCAAACATCTACGGATGCTGTCCAAGACGCTCAAAACCAAACAAAAGAAAAAGAAAGCCAAAAACTTGACGGCCGCAGCTCCCACTGGACTACCTAGCGGCAAAATGGGTCCAACACCGCCTCCGCAGGGCGTCACCGAGGTTGTTTTTAGTGTGCCGTCTCATGGCGGCAGTCACCTCGTGGCAAATGGTGTCGCTCTCATAAACCTACATGGTGTATAGGTGTACCTGACACCTTTA